CACTTCTGTTGTGATCCAGAGGGTTTTCAAGTGCTAATTTCAGAAAGAAGATTGCCAGGCCTTTCTTCCTAGTTTGTCTTACTTAGTCTGGAAGCTCTGTTGGAATCTGGTCACCATGGGTGACATTTCTGGTATTTTAAATACCAGTGGCATAGATTCCAGCATCATAGCAACATGTAAACCACCACAGTAAGACAAAATGACAGATGGGTGGTTGGTTGGCAAGTGTATTAGTTATCTATTGCCAAACAATGTATGTAACAAACATTCACAAAACCTGAGTATCTTTTAACAATAAACCTTAATTGAGCTCAGGAATCTGCAGGTCAAACATTAAGGCCAGTGGTTCCTTTGTTTTCCGTCTGAGCTTGTGCTAAGGTCTAGTGGTTAGATTGTAATCGGGCTCTTGGCTGGTGTAGCTGGGCTCTGCCTCATGTATTTCTGACATCCTTCCATCAGGCTTACCCAGGCATGTTCTCATTACTAAGGAGTCATACCAGTCACACAAGAGCTTTTCACGCCTCTGCATGTGTTAAATCTATTAACACAGCATTGGTGAGAGCAATGGCTGACTTCAGAATCAAGGGATGAAAAAATGGACTTTGCCTCTTTAGTGATAGGAACTCAAAGTCATGTGGCAGAGGCACAGATATAGGAAGGAATGAGAGCTTGCATTAATGGTCTCACTGTATCTACCACAGCAGGCAAGACTGTCTAACTAGAATTTAATAGCATTTTTTCCATTGTATTTACTTTTTTAACTGTCCTCTTTTTCTGACAAGAGATACAGATTTTCAGTTATGACAGCTATTAAAATTTCCTTTTAAAACAAATTTATTTGAGAAAAATATAAGTAGATGTAAGGAAAAAGTCTTTTTTTTAAAAAAGTAGCCCATGTGGTACACAGGTATGGCAAAAATCATCAAGGTGGAAGGGAGTGACAGAAGTTTGGAGAACTTCGAGCCAGGGTGATTGCAGTTAAGATAGTGAACAGGGAGTGTATGCAAGTGACATGGCAGACTCAACAAAATAAGCTTAATAACCGCGTGTGCAGTTGAGTTTGGTTAAACAAACATTTATCAAGCGCTGACTACCTACCTGATGGTGGCAGGAGCCAGAGATAAAAAGTCCCTGTCCTAAAGCAGTTTATAATCTAGTGGGTGAGAGGCACATAGCAGAGAACTTTGAAGTACTAGGACAAATTGTGGGTTTAGTTGATGTGCTCTGGGTACCCTACAGAAAGGCCACTAAGTTTAGGTTGAGGAAGGGCTCCCATCAAGATCCCTAGAGGAGGCTCTGGTAGAAGGAGTTGAGGTTTCCCTGGAGAAGCGTGAGGAAGGCTCTCCAGCGTAAGTGAAGGCATGGAAGGTGTGATATTCTTTTTGAGAAGGTTCATTTCTTATTGAAGCCTGATATTGGAGATAGGAGATGAGAATGAAAGGTTGGGGGCATCCAGGTTGTAGACAGCCCTGCTTGCCAAGCTTAACAGTTTACAGTTACCCTGTCACGGACAAAGGGTGTCATTGCAAGTGCTTAAGCAGGGAGATGACATAGCCAGATCTGTGTTTTAGAAGGTTCATCCACCCTCAGCGGCCTGCAAAGTGATATTTGTTGCTGTTGTTAGCTGCCGTCAAGTGGGCCCTGATTCGTGGCGACCCTATGCACAACAGAATGGAATGCTGCTGGGTCCTGTACCATCCCCATGATCAGTTGTAAATTGGACCATTGTGAGCCATAGGGTTTTCACTGGCTGCTTTTTGGAAGTAGATTGCTAGGCCTTTCTTCCTAGTCTGTGTTAGTCTAGAAGGTCTGCTGAAACCTGTTCAGCATCATAGCAACACACAAGCTTCCACTGATGGTCAGGTGGTGGCTGTGCGTGAGGTGCGTTGGCTAGTAGTCAAACCCAGGTCCCTCACATGCGAAGTGAGAATTCTACCACGGAACCACTAGTTCCTTCAGAAGGAGATATTACTGGACGTCTAATCTAACTACTTTAGAAGTGTGTCTGTGTCTTTACAAAAATTCCTGTCAGATGTTTTTCTAGCTTCTATTTGTATATCTCCAGTGACAGGAGGCTCATTATCGTGCAAATGAGGCTGTTATAATACTAATTTTAACCAGGTGCAAAGGATAGGCTTGAGGGACACAAAACTCTGGTAGCAGGGGTTGTTGCAGTGACCCAGGTGAGGGATGCAGAGGGCCTGAAATGAATAGGGAGAGTCCAAATATAATGATACAGGAGTGAACTCCTTTGGCTAATGCTAAGTGCCAGAAAATTGTAAATTGTGGTGATGCTCACTTTAGAGCCCAAACTTACTGCATAAACAACTCCCAAAGCACACAAATATGTATTTTTTTCTTATAATTGGACAAAGCAATGCTGACACCCAGTGGCTGGTTCATATCACCCGCGGTTCACAGAGAAGATCCCGTGGGAGAGGGAAGTCAACTTGCCTGACCCAGGCCGGCAGAGCATCCTGGGAGCTTTAGCTTAAAGGGCAAGTCTAAACTCAGCCAAAAAGGGCCAGCCATGTGATATGTTTGGCACTACATAAAGGATAGTTCCCAGTGAGTTTAATGCAGACAAAAGAGCTAAATTAAACCTACAGACGAAAACAGCATTGCATCAAAGTCAACCTCTTCCAAACAGAGGCAAAAGCAGTTACCCTCCAAGTTCCCCAGAGAGCTCCTCTCCAAAGCACCAGTAAGAAAATGGAATATTTAAAGGTCGGTTCCTCAGTTCCAAATCAATACTCTGGTTGTGTCACAGGGAGGCAGGCAGGGTTCCTGCTTTGGATGGAGGCCATTCAAACCCCTTTCTGACCCAGAGGACATGTTAGAACAATAAGGAACTTGACAACTTAGATGGGAAAACTGAGGTCCAGTAAGGGAAGTAAGTTTCTTAAGGTCTTGAAGCCAACTAATGGCAGAGGAGAGACCCCAGCTTAATTCCTGACTGGTTAGACATAATGGCCGTAGCTCTAGCAGCCAGTTTGGGCCATGTGACAAGGGCCATGTTCTAAACATGGTGGAGCAGAAAGATGGAAGTAGTCTGGGTCACTGATGAATTCACAGAGCTGCCATACCACCCTGGACTGCCGACCTCTAGAGTTTTATGAACTCTCATCCATGCCCAAAACTTGAGTTACCATCATTTGTTTTATAACGTTATTTGAACATCTCAGAGGAATGTTCAGAACCACACTTAGGATCTTCTCCCCACAAATTTGGTTTTGCTACAGTGTTCCCTGTCTTAGTAAATGGCACCATGATCTGTTGACAAACCAGAAATAGAGGAGGCATCCTTGACTCCTTCCTCCTTCTTATCCTCATGTCTAAAGTATCACAAGGCTTGAATGTATTGTTGCCACGTGGAAGCCTGAGATTGTGCTTGATGTGACTCTTATTGGCCAATAAATGAGAGACGGAGGTGGGAGAGCAGAAAAGGCACCTTTATTTTGTTGTACAAGGAAAGGAGGCAGTTGGAGCTGCTGCTGCCAAGGCTGCTCCGTGAGGGCAAGGGGAAAGGTTATTTTTAAGGGGTTTACAAGTAAGGAGTTCATACAAGTTACATCAGCAACATTCTTAATCATACTAGGCAGGTGCAATGAGGTTTACATATAACTTCATGCATTGCCAGGATTTTTACGAGGCAGGACAAGCAAAGGAACTAGGATTCTAATGCAAAGTTGTAAGGCAGGCCAAGCCAGCTGCTTGAGGCAGTGGAATTTTCGGCAGTCTGGGGACCTCTGCTTTAATATTACTTCCTGGATATGCCTTATATCAATGCATTTCTTAACGTCCTCCCCACCACTATCCCATTCCCCTTCCTGATTTATTTTTTGCTTTAGCATTTATACCATCTGACAAATATTTTATTTATTTGCTTTTTCTTTTAAACTTTTCTCCCCACCAGAATGTCAGCTTCCATACCTGCCCTATTTAATGTTCCCCTGCCCCCTTCTGAAAGACACTCTATTATATTACACTCTATTTTTTTTCATAGCTCTTAAAAGTATCTGGAATGATATTTATTTGCTTATTGATGAGAAGAGGAAACTTGTCTGTCTTGTACATTATATAATATTGTAGCTCATAAAAGAGGAGTTGTCTGTTTGGTTCACTGCTGTAGCCCCAGTACTTAGATCAATGCCTGTCATAGCTGCTCAGCAAATGCTTGCTGAATGAATGAATATGCGCCTGTGTACACACACAATGTGCATGTAGTGCTTAGGTCACAGCCGTACCTGCAAAAGGTTGCACAGCATCTACCTGGTTATAGTCTAAAATCCCTCCACTACCTCTGCCTTGTTCTTTTTGTAGTCTGTGACTATGGAAACCCGTTGCTGCTTATGTGACAAGGACTCCAAAAGGCAGACTGGTCTGAGGTCTGATAAGGAAACAATTATTTACTTCATTCCTGGCTTCTGAAAAGGGAGGTTGGATACCTGGAGGAGGATGTTCAGTCTAACCTGGTCTGTCACTTTTATTTTATGCTGCTTTCCCTTATAGCTAGCCATCTGTAAGGAAGATAGTTGGCCACTGGTTCATGCCTTAGGTTAGCTGCTGGTTCTTGACTAAATCTGTTTATTCATTACAAAATAATAATGATGAATACTTACTCTATTCAAGGTACTGCAAGGCAAATGGATGGAAGGTCTTCCTGCTTCCACTCTTGCTAATTCTCTGACCCTACTTTTGCATTCTTTACCTAGCAGCCAGAATAATTCTTCCCTTTCCCTCTTGTTTCCCTCCTTCCCTCCCCTAGTGGCTTAACGCAGTAAAATTTGTTTTTCCTTCCAGAACAACCCAACATTTATGTTCCTGGTCAGCGGACGGCTGCTCATGTGATTATTCAGAGACCCAGACACCTTCTATCTTGTAACTCTGAGCTCTTTTAGGGCCTCGGAGACCTCTGCAAAAAGGAAGGATCATGAATGAGAGATTTTTTTAAGTCAAGGGAGTGATCTCTTTAAAATGCAAATTGTACAAAGTCTTACCCTGATTAAAACCTTCAGTGGCTTCCCACTTGCTTCAGAATAAAATCCACACTCCTCACTGTGGCCCACACGGCCGTACATGATCGGACCCTGCCTACCTCCTTCATCTCTTCTCCCATTGTGTTCTGCCTCCTCACACACTTTGCTCCAAGCCACACAGGACTTTCTTTCTGTTTCTTAACACACTATGCTTTGATCTGCCTCAAGGGCTCCCCATTTGTTATCCCCTTTGCCTGGATGTCTCCAATTCAGCATGGCTGGCTTCTCTGGATTCAGCAGAACTCAGCTCAGAGAGGCCCTCCCTGCCTGCTCCATGTAATGTCCCCTTGTCTCTTCTCAAAGATACTCTATTATATTACACTCCATTTTCATCATAGGTCTATCAGTGTCTGAAATTATATGTATTTTTTTATTTTTTTTATTTATGAGAGTAGGGACCTGTGTATCTTATATATGATTGTTCACTTTTAGAGCCCAGATGAGTGTCTGGCACCTGGTAAGTGCTTGGCACTTGTCTACTGAGTACTTACCTTGTGGTAAGCACCCTTCTACGCACCCAGATATTAACTAATTTAATTCTTGCAACAACCCTATCAGGTCAGTATTATTATGATCCCTATTACATAGAAGAAACTTAGGCCCAGAGAGGTTAAGTAACTTGTGTAGGTTTGCACAGCTAATTAGTGGAGAAGCTGGAATTCTGATTCCAGCTATGAATCTATGATGCTGGCCACTCTACAATATGGCCACTAATGAGAGACTCCCAGTCCTGGAACATAATTGCGTGTCATCCGGTCATCTCACCATCGTCAGATGCATAGATCTGCTCTATGACATTCCTGCTGACATTTCCAAAACCTCTTTGAGTTCTTTCTGGTGGCAAAGTGTCCACTCCTCTTTAGTAAACCCATTCCATTGTGGAATGTTAATTTTCCCCTCTTATTGAGATGCAATCTGCTTCCCTGTAGCATAACAGAAGTTCCATTCCTACCTGCTCAGCCCTCAAAAGGGGCCAGCCCCTTGTGCCCTGTGAAGTCTATCAGCAGGGGTAGGGTTGCCCTCCTGGCCATCTCTCCTCCCAGCTGAAAAATGCCAGGTTCCTCTCTGGCATGGTTTATCTTCCTTTCTCTGCAAGGAAGTTTTAAGTCTCTGCCAGGGCCGTGCGTAGGGGAGCCCATTCTTTGTTCCTATGCCTCTTCTGGGGAGCTGTGGGCCAGACCTGAGTTAGTGGGGTTTCTTAGCTCGTCACATCTGATTTCCCTGAATCACGTCTCACAGCCAAGATGGTAACAAAAACCCAGATGGCACAAAGGCAATTCCTTCCCGGACTGTGGGAGCTGTTATCTGGTACTCCTTGGATGATGCTATTAGCATTACTTACAGCTCCCGTCCCTCCTTCACAGCCTGAAATCGCAAGCGTGGGAGAGGCTGATAAAGGAACTGGCTTCTATATGCCTTTCCTTTCATTACTGATATGCTTGTCCCTTGTGGGTTTCCTGCAGAATAATGGAATTGCGAAGTGAGGAGAAAAGCTATATCATCGGTTCGGGAAGATGGAGGTCCATTGTTATGGACTGTCTGGGGGCTACTGATTCAGAGGCTAGGGGTGGGCTGTGTTTACAGACAAAATAAAATATTGCCCCCCCAAAAAAAGGAGACATGGTATAGGGGAAACTGATCTGTGTACAAAAACCAGCTATATTTATTTGTTGTGTGATTATGGTTAAGTTACTTTACCTCTCTGAGCCTCTATTTCTTTATCTTTAAAATGGGCAAAGAATACCTACCTGGTAACAGCTGTTATGAGACTTAATTACACATTTTGTATTTATCCTGCCGTAGGTCCTCAATACACATTAGTTCTGATCAGTTGGACAGAACTGAGATTTATTTTACAGAAGTCTATGTTCACAGGATTTAAATTGCAGCCCCAGGCATCTGGCTAAAACTGCTTGTTAAAAATATTGTGGTCCCACAGAGAGTCAGAGGAGCTTCTAGTATAGACAACTAAAAATGTTCAGTTCTTAACAGTTTTGCAAAATGCTTTCCCATGTGCATTGTATTTAATACACATGACAGCCCTATCAGGTAAGAATAATTATTTTACATTTTGCAGCTTAGGAACCTAGGACAGAGGGAGGTTATTTAACTGGCCCAAGATCACAGAGTGAGTGAGTGATTGGTCTCTGCTATAGCCCAGAAGACCAGGACCAGGACCTTACATTGAACACAGGTCCTCTGATTTTAACTCTGTTCTGGCTTTCCTTTGTCCAACATAGTTCCTTGCTGGACTTGTAAGCAATGAACCTTATTACTTTTTTCTGTGTCTTCTAGGTTTGTGCCTGGCACACAAAGGGCACCAAATATACATTTGTAAAACAAAGAAAGTTTTAAGCAGTTAGGGATGATAAATGAATTTTTTAAGAATGGAACTTAATGTTGTTTGTGGTTATTCTGATTTCTGGCTTCCCTCCTTGGTTAGGATTGTTTTTTTTCTGGTTGCCCTGAGAAACATACCTCTTCTGTAAGGTAATTCCCTCTAGCTTGCCCCAGTTTTGTTTTTTTCAAATAAGATTGACCCTACAGAACTGTTTATTTTTAATGTACAGTGATTTCGTTCTTCCTTCCTTCATTCCTTCCTTCCATCCATCTACCCACCCACACTTCGTTCCATCCATCCACTCACCCACCCTTCCTTCCATCCATCCATCCATCCATCCATCCATCCACCAATATATATTGAGTTTAACCTACTTGCCGGGTACACTGGTACTGGAATATGATGTGACTGGAACCCTGTTTTTGCCCCATGGAGCTCAGCGTGTAAAAGGGGATCCCGTGTTCATGATGATTAAGTGCACGTGGACATATCTGGAATCCAAAAACAGCTCTGAAACTTGCCAGATACATAACGTGTATTTCCTTGGTCAAGGTACTAACCTTTCTGACCCTGTTTTTTCTTTTTTAAAATGGGGATATTAGTTTGTAGAATTATTGTGTTATTAAGTAAAGTAATTTGTGTTAAATGCTGAGTACATTGTCTAGCACAAACTAAGCACCCAGTAGATGTTGGTTATTGCTTTTATTAGTGAGGGACAGATAAGTAAAAAAGATAAGTAGAATATAGTGTGGGTGATGCTATAATAAGGAAAGGGTAGGAGGCCCTTATCCTGGCTTCCTGGAGGAACCTGGAAAAGGTTTGTTGGAGGAAGTGACACTCAGCTAATAAGGGTGAGCATGAGTTAGCCATGTTAAGGGAACATGGAGCATTCTCAGAGGGAGGGAACAATATGTGCAAAGGCCTGCGAGAGAGAGACAGCATGCAACACACATGTAGTTCAGTATGGGAAGAGAAGACATTTGAGGAAGAGCGGTGAGAGTTAAGGTCAGCGTCCTGCTTACTACATTTTTCTTAATGTTCCTCTTCTCCCTGCCCCTTCTCAGGCTATGGCCTCATCTCCTTACCCTACTTTTCCTCTTTGCACAGCTGTGATTAGCTAGGGGCAAAGGATGCCTGAGAGAAAGTTGCTTCTCCTTGGTGACTTACTTACAGAATTGCTGATGCAGGTACCCCATGAAAAACTTGGAGCCATATTCTATTTCGAGACATTTCAGTCTTACACAGCAGACCCAGCTGCTGCTGTTTGCCTCATTACCCATTAAGGGACATTTGCATGCAAGTAAATGGATTCCTCACCTTGTTCCCCTGGCAGATTTGTCGAGGGCTGGCTGTTTGTCCAGCAGTGAGCAGGTTGGGGTGCTTCCAAATGACACTTGGTAGGACCATACACAATGACAGGCTAGGGGACACTTTATGGGTCATTTCTACTCTACTGTGGCACATAAAACTGTGAAAATTCTAATCCTAGGGCCCAGGAATGACAGCATGTAGCAAAAGAGTGGGACTGGACTGGTGAGCAGAGAGTAATAGTGGTGTTGGCAGGAGATAGTGGTTGCCAAACTGTTAAAATTTGCCTCTCTGATCTACTATCAAGGGCAAATATGTGGCATGTCTGCCCTACTCCTTTATGTACCTATGGCAGGCATTACTAGTTGATGGCAGCACTCTTCTTCTGAGCCTAGACAGATTCTCAGAATTCTTCTAAACATAGTGCTCTAGGGATCCACTGCTGAGTGTTTGGAGTTGGCACTCGTAGTAAAACCCACTTACGACCCTCATTACCTCTCTTTTGATATGTGGGGAAAGTCAGACCTATCAAAGTGAAGCACTTCATCCCAAGATTAGCCTGCTCATTAATGGCCAAATTTAGGCTACAGTCCTATGCTTCTGACCCAAACCCTCTTAAAGAATTTACTTTCTTTCAAGGTACCATGAGGGTCAGTTAAAAATTCTTCTTTCTGAAATACAGTCGTCAAGCTGCTCTCCTGCTCATCATCCTTCAGTAGCTCCCCACTGCCTGTAGAATAAAGCCTAACCATTTCAGCAAAGCATTTAAGTTTTCCACATCCTAAGCCCAGCTTTAGTCAAGGAGGAGTCTCACCCCATTGTTTATTCCTTCCCCATCCAACCTATCTGCATTTATCCTCCAAACCTGGTGTCAAGCCTTTCAGCGTCTCTGAAACTGGTCAATTTCAATCCTACTGACCTTCCCCTGAACACCACTAACATTTATGGTTCAAGCCACATGACTTAACAGAGTTTTAGAGATTTTATTAGGGAAGGAATGACATCTGTCTAATACTGCTCTAGACCCCAGCTGCCCTGATCCACTAGAAAAAAATCAGGCCACACCCAAGAGCTGACCTTTTAATACACATTGACCCTTTCACCTGCCAACATAGCTTATCTGGTTTCCCAGTATCTCATCAATCTGATTGGTGTTCCTTTGGCTTGAGGTGGAGTGAGACAGGGGAAGTGGGTGAGGAGGAGCATAGAGAGGTCTCCCTTTCTCTGGAGGCCTTCATTTAGCACATATTGTATCTCCCTCTTCTCCTCTCCCACCACCTCCACCCCACGTCTATCTGTAGGGCAGTATCTCTTTAATTAATTAAAAATTAATTAAATAAGTATTTATCGAGCACCTTCCATTTGTCAGGTACTGATTTTAGACTTTGGGATA